CCCCCCCCCCCCTCTCTGCGCTTCAGCTGTCGATGTAGAGAAGAGGGGTGGCCCCTAATTACATTTTCACCGGAATTTGTTTCAATGGCACTAAAGTTTTTACAAATTTTCTAAGGTTCTATGATCACTCTTTAGAGAGCTTATCATTGTGGTTGAAATTTTCTGTATCGGAGGGAGCATCAGGCTGGTGCATAAATAAACCCTTTTATGCTACCTGGAAATGAAGGTACCTTTGAAGGGAAGGGTTTGGTGAAGCACCAAAGCCAGAACGTCGTATGAGAGCAAAATCCCTGTCTCGAGTGAAAGTAGTTCGGTCAAGTTGAGGCTTGGCCTTATACCCAACATAACCAGGGTATGTGGCGTAAAGGGTCGCATTTGGTGAACTGAAGAGAAGCAGAAGTAAAGAGCTCACATGGGGAAAAAAACATAAGGTTTTAATTACTGATTTGGGTATAAGTCGAGAGATGGAAGGTCTATCTGTCAAACATACTTTGATTGAATCGGATTTGTCCATTCACTAATTTTTTGTTGCTGCGCAATATCAAAGGTGAAAACTCGGTCTCTGTTCTTCATGGTATCCGCCAGGATATCTCCACAGCTCATCCTTAAAAGAGTTCGCGGAGTTTTTATAGCTTTTTTAGGTTCGTCTCGTCCCGAAACCTACACAATTATTCTCTTCTGTAGATATTCAATATGTGGAATGCAGCAATGGTAATTTTGGTTCAGGTGTCTTAACACCCTCTGTTCTTGATGGTGTTGGGATATCACGATCAGTGGAGCTCACATATATTGATGAAACATTGCAAATTGGTGAGTTCCAAGCTCTTTGATCTCGTGTTGATTAATACATTTTTGTGGCATTCTGGAAAATAGTCAATCAAAAGGAAAGTTATTTCGTTCTGTCTCTGAGCATATACTTCTAATCTTAACTGATTTTATGTCGCGTCTTGTCTGCCATTGCATTTTGTTCACGATGGCAAGATGCTTTCTACTTCTACTCCTGCTGGTACATGAAAATATGAATTACAGGCGATTCGTTTGTCGTTTCCCTACGTCTCGATCCTCATGCAGACCTAGGATTGACATACAATCTGGCCATTGATGTTGAATTATGGTTGGTTCAAGAGTTTCTCGGAATATTTGTTATTCTCTATCACTTTTTCATGAATAAATTGTTTTAAGCATGGTGAATCAATTTTACAGCGAAACATTGATAGAGGCTCATCTTTAGGTCTATGGATCGTCATCGACCGCCCAACCTCTCTCTTTTCGAGCTGGAAAGCAAGCGGACGATAGAGATTTCCCTTTGCCCTGAGCGTCTCACTGCTGGTTCACGTACTCTGTTTTTTGAGCACTCGGCCTATGCTGCACTCACAATAACAGCCTATGCATCGCTGGTTTCGGTATTGCCACGCAGAAAGAAACAACCACCTGATCCGGTTCGTGCTCTTTCATCCATCGTGACTTACTCAATTAATCAGCTGCACCGTGACCGCTAATTTTAGACAATTGACACAAAGTCAAGAAATTTGCATTTGTCAACTGGAAGTACGTTGTTGCATGCAATGAGCTCCATCGAAAAGTTTGTTGTAAGAAATCAGAAAGCGATGATGGCATCAGTTCACACTGGTACGCTACCTTCACGTTTTCGGCATGACTATCCTTCTTTCAAATGTGTTAAGCACAAAGTTCTTGTTCTTTGCAGTTTCCGACGATATATACCTTCAGATACCTGTAATGTTGCTACTGAAATGGAATCTCTGAAAAGTCGCCTCGACGCTGCTGTCAACCCTTGGAATGAAGTGGAAAATATGGCTGTGAATCTCAGTGCACGTCTTTCTCTTTTGTATAGTCAACTTGTTCGGTTATGTATAGGATCTCCTGGTACGTTTCTGGCCATCAAGCTTCCCACATTACCTGAATTAACGCTTTTCTTTATCTTTTCTTTATCGAAGCACCGGGGTGATCGCTGAAAGCAAGTATTCCTTTTTGCTTCAGGAATACAACTCATCTGGTGATTTTGGTAATTACATGCAAAAAGCATGAGGTGGCTGTAGCGACTGCAGCTTAATATTTTTACAACTCGTCAAGCACTAGTGATCAACTCTCTTCTAGTTTACTGCTAGTTTAACCTACCAGTTAAGAAATGGAACCGGTTCACCAATTCAGCTGCTGGTTTGCAATATGCTCGGTGCCTCAAAAAATCATTCTTTTTGGCAGTGGAGCCACCACTTTGACGAATGAATACGTTCTCTACCAGTTAATTTTAGATCAGGAATTCTCTTATCCGAGCACCCTGGATCCTACTTTTCCGGTTAGAAAGGCATCTTCCTTTGGCTCCCATTGAATTTACTCAAAAGTGTTTAACATTGCTTCTATCTTAAACTCTCAATTTTTAGCGATCTCTTCTTCGTTGTTGCAAGGATACAACAAATTTCGGCAGAAAATGTTGTCTGAATTATTTTTCTTTATGGATAGTGTACCATCTGATCATTTCAAATGTACCTGCTTAGATAAGGTAAGAGAACATTCATATTTCCGAATTTTCCTGTTTTTTTTTTCTTTTTTGAATTGCTAGGGAGATGCTCCAGGTGTCTTATTGTCGAGGAACGCCTTCTGACGAATCGTCCCAGCACTTCTGGTGGGACTGAAATACTAACCGAAAAGGTGCTCCGGTTCTGAACACATTCATTGAAAACGAGCTTTCTATTCGCTGTGTTCCAGGTACCATCATCAAGTGCTGCAGCCGCGGGTGATAACTCCCAAACTTCATGTCGCTCACCGATACGAGAGACCGTTTCTCATCTTCCTTGGATGCGGCGGAAGAACTCGAATGGGAAACCACATTCGTTACACCATTGTGAGATCGGCGATCTTTCTGTTGCTTATTTCGCTAATTTGATCTTTAGCTTATAGCGGACCCCGATTCAAGTCTGCAATTTGATCTCAACCGCCCAGAGTCATCGTCCATTTCTGGGAATGACTTAAGCTCCGCTGTAGATTTTGTAATGGAGCGTGAACGATTGAAGGCCACATTATTGGAGCAGAGGCTTTTTGATGGATATTTGTACAGGTTTCTTCATTGTAATACTGATTTTTTATGTCATAGCCATGTAACGTACTTTGTTTAGCGAGCAGGCTTCTCCCTGGCAATATACCCCTATCGTGAACAAAAAGCAGCCCACTCATCTAGTCGTGTTTGTTCATGGACTGGAAGGTTAGTTTACATATCTTGAGCTGTGATATTCTTGTCATCGTTTTTGCAACCAAAGTAAGGTGGCGCCAAATATAACCGATTGGACAGGCTCGAAAGGAGTCATATTGCTTGTAGAAACCAGATATGGAAGTCTGCACACGTTCTAGTGCAAGAGGGCCGTTCTGAATTAATCAAAGCAGTTATAAGCGAAGAAGTCCGTTCAAGATCGTACGGGGTGGCTGAGAATTTTTCATATGGCTTTACGTCTTTAAGAGCCCTTTACCTTGATCTCGTCTTGATAGTATTTCACCGTACCTCAGTTGACTTGGGCCATTGAAAAGGACTGCAGTAATAGACATCGGGATCAGACCGGTTTGAAGAGTCAGGATTCGGCTTAAAATGGTGAAGATGAGTCCTACTAGCACTATCTGCTTCTACTGATTTAAAAGAAACAGATATTTGGTGATTCGGTGTTTCTGGATAGCTCCGGTGATAATAGGTGAGAGTTTCAAAGATGCTAGATAGATAAAATGCAGAGTGCGAACATAATTCTCCATAGAACAGACAATCTGCGTCTCGCTCCTCGATGCTGTTAGAGCTAGAAGGCGGACTCATTCATTGTGAGTTCGATTGACCCCCATCGTCTCGGGGCTTGGAGTTTTGGTTCAAGAGTCGTCTCGGTTTTGGTTAAGGAATCGTCTCAGACTGTAATAGAGACTAGAGACTAGACGAGAGACTTAGAGAGGATCGACATTGTAGGTGACGACTTTCAATGTTCACTATTACAGGAACATGCGATGATCTCTCGTCATATAGAAATATATTTCGTGTCGTGGCTGATAATGTTCCTGGATTCTGTTACTTACTCAGTGCTTCTAATCATTCTAAAACGTGGTCAAATTTCGACGACATGGCGGATAATTTGCTCTCAGAAGTGCATTCATATGCATCACGGTATAGCGAACTGCCTGCACGTATCAGGTAGATTTAAGGTTTCTAATTTCCCATGTTTTCTAATTAAATTTCTATATGTCAGATGTAGAACTATACTATATTCGACTGTATGCTCTTACCTTTACTCTATAAACCTTTTTTAAGCTTTGTTGCCCATTCCCTTGGAGGAGTTATCGTGAGAACAGCGGTGACTCGGAAAGATGCATCAGACTGGCTCGTTCCCCGGTTGCACTGTCTTCTAACAATCAATACTCCACATCTTGGTCTGGCTTATGTTGGAAGAGGAATCAACCTGGGAATACAGCTTATGCAATGGTGGGTCGTGGTAAATCAAATTAAGATATCTGGCCGAAATAGCGGCAACGTTGGATGTCTTTCGGAGGATATTCTCGTCGTGCGCTCTCACTCAACGCGTGAATGAAACCCTTCACGAGTGCTGAAAGTGTGTCCGTCGTGGATTTCAATAACAGCTTTCGAATTCGCAATTGTCTATTTGACCTGTGTACCACCCATGTATCATAGCGTAACAAGAAGTCCTTCTCAGGAGTTATTTCGTCAGAAAATCATGTCGGAGCTTATGAGGAGCTTTCTTTACGTCCACGTCAATCGTTGCAAAGCACCCCAACATTTTTTGTTACCCCTGTGCGAGTGCTTCGCGTTGCACTGTAACTGACAATGAATAAAAATTACACGCCCTCTCAACCTCTTTGCTTCTTCCAAAAAGTTATTTAGCTTCCGGCTAGTTCGAACATAACAAACTACATAACTATTCAAATTTTGAAAGAGTGTTGTTAGTGACCAAAAAAGAATAGCTTGGTTTTTATCATTATGAGAAGTGAAATAGATAAAGGGGCGGAGGTGGTTTAGTGGCAAGTGCCGCACTATCTCACACGTACGGTCATGGGGTTGATTCCCGGCCTAGGCCAACCAAGCCTTCCTTCCATTCGGGGTCGGTTAATTGGTACCACACTCGTCTGGGAGAATAAAAGCACTGATTTGTACATCTGCTGGCCACCGCAAGTCATTGTATAGACCACATACGCACTCATTATGCCACTGCGATTCTGAATGGAAGTCGAGTGCGGGGGCACATCCGTCAGACGGGATTGATTAATGCCAAAAACTTTGAATTTTAACTTTTAAAATTGGAAAATGGTCCCAGCTACTTGATTAAAAACTTGAATGTGTTCAGGTGGAAACAGTCTCGGTCTATGGAGCAGTTAGCACTAAAGGACGAGGTTTCATTTTCTGACTCATTCCTCTACCGACTGTCGAAGAAAAGGACATTCGGCCTCTTCCGATACGTTCTGCTCATTGGGACTCCAGGTAAATTTACGTTCGTGGTTGAGAGCACGCAGCAGTTCGCTCTCAGCAAAAGAGGACGAATTCCAGCTGATATGTTCGTGCCTTGTCATTCCGCTCTTTTGTCTTCATGTAAATCAGCGATGAAAGATCCATCTGCCTTGGGTACTACTTACAGGTTAGTTTTCATTTAGTCCCTCATAGAAAGTTTTTATTTGCCTGCCCGCGCTTGTGTAGAAAGGAACACTCAACAAATAGGACTTCGGTGGTTAGATACTTCTTGAAAACAATTTCAATGAGGAAATTGGTTGCTCAATGTGATGTTACGTGGACCACGTCATTCCCTTAATTGGTTAATTAGTTCCGCAACCTGGGCGTAGTCAACAACTCACCAACAATAGTGCACCAAAGCTCACCTACCCTTGGTAGCTCATCTCTGTTTCTTCAGTAGACTTCCTTATTCACCTGATAGAGCTTCAAGGATACATCTGTTACTGGAGCCCAGTGAAAGGTGAGATTTGTTCTTTGACTCCGCTCCTGTTCACAAGGTGAACAATGTTCAGACTTGTTCTATCGAGACTGTCTAACAAAGGAAGAATGCACGATTGTTGAGGCCGTTCAAGATGGGATGTGTTGCGCATGATGTGTTTCCGAATGCCCATCCCCAAAATTTTTTCTAATACAAGGAGTTGGCAAAGGCGTATCTTCTGAGAGTCGAAAAGGCCAGGGCAGAACTTTTGGAAAACTTCGCCTGGTGTTTATAAAGGTGCGCGAAGACCAACCCTTTCCATTACACCATCACTACACTGTAGAACTGACTGCCTGGACTCCTATGCACTTGACGCTGTTGTACAGGCCAGGTAGGAATAGCTCCCATCCCTTCGATCCTTAAATGGTTTACCAGATTGAAATGCAGTTCGGAGCTCGGCCTTCGGGAACACATACGAGGGATACAACTCATTTTGAATGCCCACTGCGACCTTGTCGTACAGATTGAAAGAGATTATCGTGTGTTGCCAAAACTTGGCCGAGATACTACGATCCGCAGCGGAAGTATATTTCAACCGGCTGAGAGCGCTCACGCCAAAAGCTCAGATTGTATGAATGCTACTGAATGCTTTACGTAAATGCTTGAATATTTTGTGTAATATTTTGCTGAATCGATTTTGACAGTTGCACGCTAAAAATCGATCTCAATCGTCTTGTTCATATGATTTTATCTGCTGATTGCGAAAGCAGGAAAAAGTATGCCCGATATCAAGACATAGATAGTCGTACCTTGATTCCTTGGTCACATCGCGAAAAACTTTTTGTGGAACTTCAGTCCTGAGTATTGAACTAGATCATTAGGCATAAAAGGACCGTGAACAAAGACGCTATTGGTCCACGAAAACGATTGAGCTGCAGATTGAGGCTGACTGATGCTCATCACTAGAAGTTCCCTTCCATTCAACTTAATGTTCCCGTCCGAGGATCCAAAGTATTTTGTCCATGACTCGCCAATATTATGAAATCTGTCCATTTACTTTTTCGAAGGCAGTGATAAGCAGTTTGCTCAAATCAGGCAAGAGGAACGGTGTGACAATATATGGCTGCACACATAATGATAGTGTAAATCTGTTTCGAATATAAAAGCTCCACTCTAAAAATTTCAGAAGTGTCCTTTTTCCGCGCCACTGGCTGGGTTGAAATAGGTGCTTAGCAGTATGTTTGGCCCATCGGCATATGAGGAATATGAGTTTTTATGAAACTTTCTAGCCTTTTTCATTTGGTGGGACAATGAATAAACTCAAAAAAGTTGTAGAGTGTAATGTGAAGCGAAGCGAGTTTTTATCTGAGCTGACGTGCAGAGTCCAAGCAAAACACACACCAATACATCAATACTTCAGGCAAATTGAATGCTACACAATTATCAACTTGCATGTTGAGCTTTCCAGCTTATAACAAAAAGATAAAGTCTCTAGCGTTAACCGAGCTTGATTCGGGATTCCCGCGTTCGACTTCCATTCAGAATCGTAGTGATGGTTCGAATGCATAAGCGACCTACACAATAAATTACTGTGGCTAGCCGGCGTGTACATCAGTTCTTTTATCCTACCAGACGAGTATGGTACAAATTAATCAACCCGACGGATTGAAGGTTTGGTTGGCCTGGGCGAGTATCGATCGGACCCGGACTATGTGTTTTATAACGCACCACTTGTCGCAGTTCATAATTACTAGAATTTATCGCTTATATAGGAAAATGATAAAGGATAAAGTTTATGAGGCGGAGGTGGTGTAGTGGCAGTTTCGCACTATCTCACACGCACAGTTAGGGGGTCGAATCCCGGATCGATGCCCGCCTAGGCCAACCAGGCCTTCCATCCATCCCGGGTCGGTGAATTGGTACCAGGCTCGTCTGGGAGGATAAAAGCACTGACTTGTACATCGGCTGGCTACCGAACGTCATTGTATAGGCCACATACGCACTCAATACGCCACTACGATTCTGAATGGAAGTCGAGTGCAGGGGCGCATCCCTCGACGGGATTGGTTAACGCCAAAAACTTTATCCTTTTATTCTTCTTAGAAAAATGGCTGGGATAAACTTGAGATGAGGTATATTGCGAACTGGACACTGGGCAGGCCTACATATAAGTGTCTACGTTGTGGAAAGGATTTAGATCACTCAAAACCAACAATAATAGTAGTAAATACTAAAAATAATTGGAAGCAGTTTTGAGACTTTGCTGAATGATGCCGTCACTTCGTAGGCCACCTATCTTGCAGGAAAATCGTTCGTATTTCAAATTCCACTGATTCGTCTGAAGCTATGCAGAACTTTTGCACGGTAGTGCTGCTTTTAGCGCAGCTTTCAATGAAATTTCCAGGAAAAAGCACTATGGAAACACATAGTTTTTTTTTNTTTTTTTTTCAATAGGAATGGATACTGGAACGAATGCAGATCTACAGAAGTGCAGACAGAGTACAAGAGAGAAGCTGGTTTTTGCAAACTTTCCGTAATATTACACTGCAAAGTTCCTGTAAAATTACACATTGTCACATCTTACTAGACCAGCTCTATTTTGCCATGATGAGAGCGAACAGTTTCGAAATAGCAGCCACATTTCATGCTTCTATCATACAATCCACTAAAGTGAATCGAAAAGAATAAAAAATGGTTTCTTTAGATGAAATCGTAGTCGCTGATTCGATCACATGTTGAACTCTCACTTCTGGCTTTTGGTTAGTTGTAGTTTGAAAAACTGACTCATGCGATGTTATGGTGTAAGAAATATCAAAATCGATTATCGCTTGTCATGAGAAAACTGGCATTGTGTCTGAAACCGGTTTAAGGCATTGATTAGGGGGAGTAAGGCGTAATGTAAATAGTTTAAAATGGTGATAGCTTAGCAAATGGGTTGAATTGCCTACTTAACCTATACTGAAACGGTGTAATCGGCCGTAGTAATGAAAATGTAGTTAAGGAATTAATCTCATATAACAGATTTTAGGGACATGCTCACGAATGTACATGAGGATATTTCGTCAAGTGAACGTTCAACTTTAGCCATTCGATACTCGACTTGGCATACGGTTTCCTCGCCTAAAACTAGCAGGATTACTGGTAGAGCAAGTGAGTTCCTAACTCAATGCTACTTTGTCACACCTTTGCTTTTGTATGCTAATATATCGCCTGGGTTAAATGTCCACCCTCTAAGCTTTTCTAACATATCCTTAAAAATTAGCCATCCATGGNAACTGATTTCAGGGACATGCTCTCGAATGTACATGAGGATATTTCGTCAAGTGAACGTTCAACTTTAGCCATTCGATACTCGACTTGGCATACGGTTTCCTCGCCTAAAACTAGCAGGATTACTGGTAGAGCAAGTGAGTTTCTAACTCAATGCTATTTTGCTTTTGTACGCTAATATATCGCCTGGGTTAAATGTCCACCCTCTAAGCTTTTCTAACATATCCTTAAAAATTAGCCATCCATGGTTCTGCAGTTGAACATTATCGAATCAGAATCACATGAGTATCTGTCAACACGCCGATTATAGGCCGATAAGAGAACACTTGCCTACCTATCGATTTTATGACTACGCAGATAACGCATACTTTTCAGCACATATCGCCGCCGTTGAGGACGATGTATTCATCGAGAAACTCTTCGCGATCTCGGCTATGAAATATTTTATAGAATAAATCTATTCTACAGTAGTGTGTTTATTTCATAACATACATTGTACATAAGAAATATCACAACTAAAAACAAAATACATGTTGCAGAGGTGGCGATTAGTGCTGGGCTAGAATGACAGGCTTAGTCTACATGTAATGTGACAATTCCAAATTTATGACAAACCAAGACAAATGTCAGTGATGTCTATTTTAAACATGATAGCTCATTACAAAAAAGTTGTCACTCGAAAATGGCGTAGGAACGGCATCAGGTGGAAGAACGCGAAAGCCAACATACCGAAGTGTACGCGGGAATCCTTCCGACATCTCTGGTCTATTGAAAACTGCGAGAATACGCTCGACACCTGAACAAATGAATCAGATGCTGATCCACAAATACGAAAGTTCTGCTCATGTTTATTGTGAAACTAACCGAGCTCCTCCTCACAGTATTCGAGCAGAGAAACGAAACGCTCTCGAGATATAGACTTCGGATTCTGATCAATTGGTATGATGAGTGCTAACGTCTTCGGGTCCACCATTACCCAACGCCATTCCTTTGCCACTACCCCAACCCGATGTGTCACCTTGAAATTTAAAACGGATGAGAGCCTTCACTCTATTTATATGGAAACATTAGCGCATCAGTGATTCCTGTGCACCTTTAGGTATGACCAAGAAGTGGAACACACTCGTAAATTTTCCTTGCAGTCATTGGTTTGCAAAAGTAAACTTCAAAGAAGCAGAACACGACGACGAAGTAATTGAAGCTATGTTCAAATGATCAAGCAAAAACTTACATCATCTACACGATTTGCTATGCATTGAGGGACGTCAAAAACACCATCCGACCGCGCCGTCGTTGTGCTCAGAGCTGAAAATAACACAGACGATTGAATATTGTCCACTTCTGCATGGTCACCAATAATTGTACTCACATAGTGTTTACGTTACTACTCAGATTACTTTTAACAATACTGGACGACATCGTAATACAGCTGACGAAGAACTCGCGACGATTCACAAACGTGAAATGAACCGCGTCGCGCAACCGCCCGACCTTATATGCGCTCGCACTGTCTGCGCCTCCTGGTCTGCAGTGCACACTCGAAATTATCGATCGCGGTCAGCTGAGAGGCGGCACCCGCACGGAATGGCCCTACCGTATCCCGTCGCTGGCATTTTGCCAACGATTATTCTACAGCCAGCCAATACAGTGATAAAGAGCTGATGTGATGAGTAACTTGTCAGTTCAGTTCTACTATGCTGTAATTTGTAAAGTAATTTGCTACAGGGGTGTAGTAGAGGCACTGAAGCAGTAACTCATCCTAAATACTCGGTAATATACAAGTCGCAGACTTTTTTCCTTGGTGTAAATCGCTGACTGTTTTGCGTGCTCTTCATTCAGAGTGGAAACATCCTTGTTTCCTTTTTTTTCATGTTAATTCTGTCTCATTTTGCTCTCCTGAAC